TAGTCAGCAAAAGGTACAAATCCAAAAAATACGAACTTTACCACGGGGACAAAATGCCAAAATCCGATGATCCTGTCTAACACCCGTCGGTAGAACAGATGGCTGGCAAGAAGCAGCGGCAACAACGGTAACAGAAACACGATGCAGCCGAGGAACGAACTCAGCCAAATGATGAACACTGCCAACGCGTTCACGAACAGCATTAGCTCGTCTCGGCAGGACAAGTGGCACGACGATGCAGAAACTCTACAAGAAAACCAAACGATGTACAATTTTATTAAGCAACAAAAACTTTTGTATTAAAAAATGCAAGATCTGAAGCGGAAAGGAAACGGTTCCTACTTCGACTGGAGGCGCAGAGACCACATACCAATTTCAATGGTTCTGTAAATTCAGTTACAACACGACATGAGAAGCTGCTGCTAAAGCTGACAGTAGCAGATGCAAGAAATTACAGAAAATGAAAATCGACAGACAAAAGTGCGCAAGAAAGAAAGTAATAGCATCCAGATTACCGCCTATGCGAAACTACCTGTTCTACAATTTTTAATGAAAAAGTAAACATTTCAAGGAGGGCACAGGAATGACTATCATCTGATTTCATCTCAGATTTATTTCCAGTAGTATTTTACTGGTTAAACTGGACACAACAGAACAAAAACTGGACCCTTTAGCACAACTTTGCGATCGCCTCGCAAATCTGAGATAATTTCGTGTACTCAAAACGCAGATTAGTTGTTAAAGGTTCACAGTATGCTAATTGAGGAAAGAAAGAATAATTATGGAAGTGTACAACGTCACTAAACAATGCTTGTATGTAGAAATCGCAAAAAATGATTTTTTTTCATGGGCGCAAATTAATGAACGTAGCATCAGATTAATGGTACTATTAAAATAAACGGATTCTAATTGGTATATCTTTCCAACCAGTTGACGAAAACTGTTTGTTGATCTCGACGACAATGATATCCGTTATTATGCTTGTATTTCGGAGATACAGTCCGTAGATTACGAATTGAAATTTCTGTCAATATTTAATTAAATAGTTTAGTATCGATTCAGCATTCGGGAGAGAATTGGTATACAGCCGCTGTTTCTTCACATTAAAAAATCACAGCTGTAATGGTTTGGGCACGTGTTCCTAATGCCTTCAGAAAGGAAGGACACGCAAATTTTTCTTGCCCAAACGACCGACAGAAGGCCCAGGGGACTTCCAAATTTACTTCGTGCACATATATGAAAGGAGTCTACTCCAGATACCAGTTGTCTTCAGCCAAAGCTCAGACCCTAGCCCAGAATGGGGAACGTTGTCTCCGGTGGACACGAGAGCGAAATCTGCAAACAACATCGCACGACGGTTTGAACAGATCCCAGCGATTACAACTCATGTTGAAACCGAATGGCAGCTGTTTCAGAGAGGCCTACACGAGGTTGCCGCCGAATGCTCGGATATAAACGGGTTGGCCTGCCGCCTGCAGGTCAGCAAAGACCTTCATGGTGGACAGGAGAGGTACAACTGG